TATCAAAAGCAATATAGGGACCCTTCCTTCTTAGCTTTCCAGAACATTCTTTTGAATATTTTAAAGCTATATTGAGTGCCAACACATTAAAAAGACCCCCGTAGACCCCATCAAATGGAAACTTTCTGAGGGTTTTTTGGACTGAAGTATAAGAAATTACAAAATAGCCCATTAAAAACGTAAAAGTTTTTGCTGCACTTAGAAATACTTAAAAGTTTTCTGGTCTTCAGTTGGGAATCCCTTCACTATATATCCACTACTGCACTTCATGTTTTTATAAAGATCTTTAAATTCAGGGTGGAAAAATGTACTTCAATCTATTTTGTCCTTGTGTTTTAAATATTTTTTAGTACCTAAGAAGAACATCCATGTAGCCTGATTGTAGATGGGTTTAATGTCTCCTTTAAGTTCTGAATACTAAGATAATCAGAATCTACTTTTTCTCTTAGAAACTGTGCTCAGTTACTTCTGGTGTTATTTACAGCACACAAAGCCCACTTGAAAAAGTATTGAGAACTATTTAAATGTCATTGTCAGAGGGTTTAAAAGGTTCAGGGGACCTTTTTTATTTAGGTTATCAAATCAAAAGTCATCGTGCTCTATAGTAACTAAATGATGTTTTCACATGAAGATTGCTTATGTGAAACCTTTGAGCTAGTTTTCTTTCTTTTTTTTCCTGTTAAGAATCCCTTTAGTGTGCATTTAGAAGTTTCACAGTTAGCTTTTTTTCTTTAACTTTTTTTAAAAAAAAAAAAAAAACATCAAACTTACAGAAAAGTTGCAATACAGGACAAAATACTATTTTTTCCGGAAATTTTGAGAGTAAGTTGCTGACGTGATACCCTGTCACCCTTGAATACTTCTGTGTGTATGTTCTACCTTCTACATAACCAGGAAAAACCATCAAAATCAGGAAATTAACAGTGATACATTACTACCATTTAATCCTCAGACCCCATTCAGATTTCTCCAGCTGTTTCTATAATGTCCTTTACAGCAAGAAGATTCAGCTCAGAACCACACATTGTATTTAGTTCTCACATCTCTTCACTCTCCTTCAGTCTGGAACAGTTGCTCAGTCTTTCATGACCTTGACACTTTTGAGGATTACAAGCCAGTTATTTTGTAAACTATCCCTCAATTAGAGTTTGTTTTTTCATGGTTAGGTTCACGTTATGCATATTTGGCAGGAATATCACATAAGTGATGCTGTGTTCTTTTCATTATCAGGTGGCATGTAATTTTTGTTTGTCCTGTTACTGATGATGATCACTTTGCTCAAAGTGGTGTCTACCAGGTTTTCCACTATATAGTTATTTTTATCTTTGTAATAGTAAATATTTTGGGGAGAAGCACTTTGAAACTATATAAATATTCTGTTCATCATCAGAGTTTCAATTTATTCACTTACTTATTAATGTCAATATGGACTCATGAAGTTCTGTTTTCTTCAATGGGTTATAATCCAAAACTATCATTATTATTTTGATGCTTCCTTGTCCCAGATTTGGCCAGTGGAAACCCCTTCAAAATAATTTCTATATCCTTTTAACGTATCCTCTTCATTCTGAGTACTTCCTTGCTTTCTGTCACAAAATGTTCCATACTCGTCTTGTACTTTCCCTGCCTCAATCCTGGAATTAGCCGTTTCTCCAAGGAGTCTGGTTCTTTTAAGTGGAGAATGATATTTAGGAGTTAATATCTGGATACTAGAAGCTGTTGTAGTGTCACTGCTCCTAGATGCTCTCAGTGACAGGACTAGAGACTATATGTATGTATATCATACGTAGACATATACACACATTTACACCTATATTTTATATCTATTTATATGTAGTAGAAGCCATGTGTTCATGCCAGTATCTCCATTTCCAATACAGTACCACAGATTTCCATATATGTAACTCCCTTCTCTGACAGAAAAAACTGGCCTTCATTGTCCTTATTATATTTTTCTTATTTGATCAGTCCTCCTTTGTATAACCTAGTCATCCATTGCCACTGCCAGCTTCTCCTCAGTGCAAATGCTCTCCTTGCCTCCTTTGGGTTCTGACATCCTTTACCATGGCCACTGTTCTGTGTGGACGCTTCTCAACTGCTTGGGCTCTGATATACTCATACAAGGCTGCCCCTAATATATTGGTGCCCTCTTCACCCCACTCAAGTTCTGACACTTTGCGCTGGACCAGTGCCATGCATAGAAGCTCTCCTCACTATATTTGGGCTCTGTGGTGCTGCCCCCGCCCCCCTGTCCCCATGTGGGTGCCTCGCTTACCCTGTTTAGGCTCTGAAACCCACACCAGACCACCTTCATGCATAGGTGTCCTCTTCACTATGCTCAGGCTTTGACTCCTCATGCTAGGCCGTCCTTTAGCGTGGATACCTTCTTCATCCATCTCAGACTCCAGCATTCCAAGTCAGGCAATTCTCCTGCCTGAATGCCCTTCTTACCCTGCTCGGGCTCTGATTTCCCATGCTGTCGGCCCTCCATGTAGAATCCCTCCTCACCTCATTCAGGCTTCCCATGCCACACAGGCACTCTCTTCATGCTGGTTGGTCTTCAGCAGCCTGCCCTGGGCTGCCCCTACTCCCTGCATGGACATTCTTCTCTCATCTTGCATTTTGACACCCCATACTTGGTTACCCCTTTGCTTATTTGTAAAATATGTGTATTTTCCCTGACTTTATGCTTTTCTGCTAACATCTAATGGGTGATGTGTTAAATTTTTAAAATGAGGACAGGATATAAGTACATTGACTGTGTTTTTTAAACAAAAATTGGAATATGACCAGATTATAGTATAGAATATTTGAAGTCAGTACTGTCCTGAACGGTTTTGGGCATATGATCACCATTAAAATAAAGAACAAAGGAGAGTTTAAATTTCTAATAATGGAGGAGTACCTCCTATGGAACCAAACTTCCAACAGCTAACAATTACAGATTCTGGACAAAATATGAAAGAAATATGTTATCTGAAAGCATTGGAAAGTGACCAAAACCAACCTGTTTTTATGGCTTTTTTGCCCAAGGGCAGGCCCCAGTTTTAGACTCAGGGTGACCAAAACTTGGGTAGTAAATCCATAGTTTTACTGGCTTAAAAAAACGTAGCAACTACAGCAGCTGGTAAGTAAGTGGAGAAATCTTGGAATGGAGAATACTGAGAAGGCTTTTTTGTGTATAAATTCTCTGGCTGATCCAAATCTCTAGCCGATCCTTGAACTATGCATATCTGGGTCACACTCTGAGCAGCCCATCTAAGGCTAAGAATAGAGATTTATGATTCTACAAGGATGACCAACTTGTCCCAATTTCCCTGAGACTGTGAAAGTTCTGTCATCTGGGAAAACCCTCAATCCCAGGCATGCTAGGACATTTGGTTACCCTAGGCTGCTGCCCACCACAAGTGAGACAGAACTTGAGTTTGAGTCCAGACAAGTTAAATACATGCTTTAAAAGTAAAATAAACAGGGGGCTGGCCCTGTGGCTGAGTGGTTAAGTTCATGGGCTCCGCTTTGGCAGCCCAAGGTTTCGCTGGTTCGAAACCTGGGCGCAGACATGGCACCGCTCATCAAGCCATGCTGAGGCGGTGTACCACATGCCACAACTAGAAGGACCCACAACTAAGAATACACACTATGTACTGGGGGGGCTTTGGGGAGAAAAAGGAAAAATAAAATGTTTTTTAAAAAAGTGAAACAAACAGAGAAAAATTCCTATACTCTTCAGAGGAATATAACAGAACCCAGAAATCCTGTAACATATCTTTACATTGTCCAGGGTACAAACCAAAGTTATTAGGTCATATGAAGAAGCAGGAAGATGTGACCCATACACAAGAGAAAAGGAGTCAATGGTGACTGACTGCAAAATAATATAGATATTGAAACTGGGAGACAAGGATCTTAAACAGCTATAATAATTGCACTCAAAGATGTAAAGGAAAATATACTTGTAATGAATTAGTGAATAGGAAATCTCAGCAAGAGAAACTATAAAAAAAGAACAAATTGGAAATTCTAGAACTAAAAATTACAATATCTGAAATAGATAACTCATTAGACAGGCCTAACATAAAATTAAGATGACAGAAGAAGGAGTAAGTGGACTTGAAGGTATATCAGTGAAAGTATTCAGTCTGATTAACAGAAAAAAACATTGTGGGAAGAAAGAACAGAGTCTCAGGGAACTTTGGGAAAATATGAAAAAGTCTAACATATGTATAATTCAAGTCCTAGAAGGAAAGGACCAAGAGAATGGAGGAGAAAAAGTATTTGAAGAAATAATGGCTCAAGTTTGCTGAAAAACATAATTTTACAGATAAGTTTAGTGAAGCCAAGTGGGATAAATTCAAATAAAATCACACCTAGGCATATCAGAGTCAAACTGCTGAAAACCAAAGGTAAAGAGAAAATTTTGAAAGCACTTAGAGAAAAAGAATACATTGTGTATAGGAAAACAACAATACAAAAATCACTGATGTCTTATCAGAAACAATAGAGGCTAAAAGATAGTGGAATGCCATCTTTAAAGTGCTGGAACAAACTATCAACCCAGAATTCAGTATCAAGTAAAAATATTCTTTAAAATTGAAGGCAAAATAAAGATATTTCCAAGTAAATGAAAACTAAGAAAAGTTGTCACTCACACAGTTGCACTACTGGAAATACCAAAGGAGGCTCTTTAGACTGAAGATGATACCAGATGGGAACTCAGATCTTCATGAAAAAATGAAAATCACAAATGTTAAGCATGTGGGTAAATACAAAGTACTAGTTTTTTCCTCTTCATCTCTTTAAATTACAATTGCTACATAGATAATTCCTGTTATTCTCCTTGAGGCATTTTTTTAGGGAGGATGTAGAGAAGGAATAGTCTTGCTGGGAAGAGGGAATCTGCTGCTAAGGCTTCCAAAATGGTATCCTTATTAAACTCAGAATGCTCAACTCTGAAAAACTTTACTCTAAGTTGCTAATATTTGTAATCCTTTTCTTTTCAGATATCAAACCAGATGTGGAACTAAAAAGCACTCAGGAGCAATCTGTGGCCACAGGTAATATCATGTCTTTCCTCTCTAGAAATACACCTTTAACTGAAATTACCAAGACAGAGAAATATTCTGATTGCAGTAAAAATGCTATCGAGATACTTTGGGGGAAAAAATGTGGTTGTGTCTTCCTGATAAAAAAAATCACTCATCCATTTAGAGCATATAAGTTCTTTGGCATCATAGGGCCAAACCACACCCCACCTAATGTTAATCACTTTTTTTTTCCTTAAAAAAATTTTTCAACTGATTGGTTTTGAACAAAGATAGTTTTTGTTGAATAATGTAGAGGCTTGTATTTGAATGACTTGTGCTTTTCATCGTAGAACATAGTTAGCAACCTTTTCTTATAAAGAGCCAGATAGTAAATATTTTAGACTTTTTGGACCACATATGGTCTCTGTTGCATATTCCTCTTTATATTTTTTACAAACCTTTAAAAAAGTAAAAACCATTCCTACCTCCTGGGTTCATACAAAAGCAAGCCATGGCTAGATCTGGCCCTTGGGCCATAGTTTGGCGACCTCTGCTCCAGGATAAACTATAAACATTTAAAATTATTTCCTAAAAATAACTTCCATATTTTCTCCATTGATTAACTCACTTTGAATCAAAGGTTGTGCTATATTACAAAATTTACCACTTGTGCCTTTTTGTGTTATTGTGAGTTATAACCTTATATATATGTGTGTTTTTTAGAGTGAATTTCTTTTTTAAGATTGGCCCCGAGCTAACATCTGTTGCCAATCTTCCTCTTTTTTTTCTTCTCCCCAAAGCCCCCCAGTACATAGTGGTATATCCTAGTCGTAGGTTCTTCTAGTTCGTCTATGTGGGGTGCCACCTGAGATGGCTTGATGAGTGGTGCTAGGTCTGCGCCAGAATCTGAACCAGTGCTCCGGGCTACCACAGCAGAACACGTGGACTTAGCCACTCAGCCAGGGGCCAGCCCCTAACCTTATATTTTAATTTAAACTAAATTTAAACTAATTTTAACTGTACTTCATATTAGTTGTTCAGGTGTGCACTTTATGTTAGTCATTTCAGGCTTGAGAAAAGAGAACCACTGTTTAGAACAGTCTTAGGGTTCATAGAGTATATGTTACAATATGCAGGAATTAGAAACTTTACTTATTTATAAATCAAAACATGAGTTCATGATGACCACATTTTCAGAACCTCTTAGTCATGGATTTTATGAAATGTTTCCATTTTACTGCTGAATTCCAGTAAAAGTCCTGCAACATGTGTTTGGCAGCTGAAAGGAATGCCACTGCAGAGTTTACAGTCACCTCTGCTGCTTCAGCCCAGCTTAAACACCACAGAATTCAGTGTCTTTGACTATTTGTTGCATGTAATAGGTTCTCTGAATATTGAGAAGGAGTTTGATAGAAAGTGGGTAACTTTTCAGTTCATTTCTTCTGTTAGCATCTTTTGTTGAGCTACCATGCTTACATGTGAAATAATTCCAGCTACATTGTTTCTTTTTTCTTACTTCTAATATTATCAATATTTATTGTGCAAAATTATATTTCCATTAAATTTGATTTTAACAAGTTTGCTGTTTATTTAAGCATGCTTTTATTATGTCTGCTCTCTTTCACTAACGAACTCCCATAACACTTTGTATTTCCCTTAATTTCTTACGTTATAGATATATAATCTCTCTGCATTATAGACTTCTGTTATCTCTTGTTTGAGTCTTGCATTATAGTTACGGGCTTGTCTAATCTACAACTGCAAAGTATAAACTCCTTGAGGATAGGAATTATGCCTTATTCATCTTACCTACAGCCTTGTTAGCATTTAGTAAATGTTTGAAGAAATAAAGGATCTTGGGGGCCAATATGTTTTCCTCAGAATCACATTTATAATGTGAACAGACAGGGAAAGTAGGATTTGGTATACAGAAGCTCATATGCTTCCTCTCAGGAAAGTGTCTTTCCCAAATTGGATTATGCCAGTATTTTCAGGCTTACTATTTCTCATCACCATATATTAATACTTCTTGGTCATCAATAGCAATAGCATCCTGCTGAATATTGAGACATACCAAAGGAGAGAGAATGTCTGTCTAGAAGGAACTTGAGTTCATTTTAACTCAGATGAAGGAAATATTTGAGAAAATCTTGTCTAATGGAAAGGTACATCAACCCTGGACATGTGTTTCTAAACCTCAAGAGTTTTCATATATATCCCACTTGGAGTATATGTGAAAGAGATACTGTCTATCATGAGATTGTATCAAGCTGAAATGGGAGTCTACTTATTACATGTTTATAAAAACCCTTTAAAGTTGACTGCATAGTTAAAATTCTTTTTATCTCCCAGAAGGTCCAGTGATTTTGAATGACTACAATTTAACCAAACCTCATGAAACAGAAAATGTGGATAGTGCAGAAGGCCCAACAAATGAAGATGAAGATATAGGAGGTGAGCCATAGTGTACAGACTAGAAACTAATGGTTATAGATGTGGTCGAGGCTTAATATGAAGAAGAAATCTGGAACTCTCCAAGGAAAACTTGCATTTGTGGGTTAAGTTGGGAGTAATTCAGTTTTGTTCATTTTACAAATATTTACATTTAATAATTTGCTATAGAATATCAGCAAATTTTGAGAATTTAAGGTGCTTATTCAGTGTTCAAGTTATACTAACTTCATTTTTAAAATAACATTTATTTTACTCTTTTGTATTATAAAAGTAATGCACGTTCATCGTAGAAAGTTTGTCCGGGGTGTTTTGTAACACCAAGAACCAATTCTCCAGACACCAACTGGGCATCCAGCAATCCAAACTCTCATACTAACTTCTAGAGTTAATGCTTGGTCTCACAAGACTGCCCTCACTTCAGACACCAGTTGAAAGTACCAGGTCCCAGGTTACCTGCACGTCTGTCTAACTTGGCTACAAATTCAGGGTTTTGCACAACCTCCCCTCAGATTCAATAATTTGCCAGAATGACTCACAGAACTTAGGAAAGCGCTTTTCTTGCCATTAGTGATTTGTTATAACAGACACAACTCAGGAAGAGCCAAATGGAAGAGATGCGTAGGGCAAGACATGAGGTGGGAGAGCGTGGAGCTTCCATGGCTTCTCTGGGCACACTACCCTTCCAGCACCTCTGTGTGCTCACCAACCCAGAAGCGCTCTGTATCTTATTGTTCAGGAGTTTTCGTAGAGCTCAATCTGCAGTCCCTTCTCCCTTTCCTGGAGGTTGGTGGATGAGGCTGAAAGTTCCAATCCTCTAATCACTTGGTCTTTCTGATGACTAACCCACACTGAAGCTATCAAGACGCCCCATCCTAAGTCACCTCAGTAGCATAGACTCAGGTGTGATTGAAAAGGGCTTGTTATGAATAGCAAAAGACACTCCTATCACTCAGCAAATTCCAAGGGTTTTAGGAACTCTGTGTCTAGAATCTGGGACAAAACCCAAATATTATTTTTTGCATTGTACCACAGGCTACCCGCTGGTCTTTGACCACAAATCCCTTATAGCAAAAGGACCATAAAAGTCAAGAGATACTGGCACATTAGTAGGGTCCATTCAGTCATTAATGATTAGTCCAGTCCATTATATCATATGAAAATGTCTCCCAAGGTAAAGGCCACTCAGGTTTGCAGGCTTCCATTTGATCTTGTCAGGTTCCAAAAGCAAGAGTAGTCTCAGCAATATATGCCTTCACCTTTTTGGTCATCTGGTATAATTGAGCTAAGAGACAATATTATTCTCTTACTCTGAGCCTCTCTTGAGATTTTAATATAATATTGGACTTCCTTCATTACATAAACCATTGCTTCATTCCTTTATCCTCAGCTACATTCTTCAATCTTTCCGTTTATACCTGAACTTTTCCACTTTTGGAAGGAACATTAGGTTTAGCCACTGTACTGCAGCAGCAGTACTAGTCTAACAAGTGCCTCCCCCTCAGTCCTATTCATATAGGGTAGAGTTACTTAGGTGCAGAACTAGAGGGCTTTTTTACCACTAGGCAACATAGCTGCATTCACTGCTAACTTCAGTTTTGCCAAATGGAGTGAAGGCACAACCTGCCCTATCAGGCCTTTAGGAATTCTGACATAAAGATTTAAAGCTATAGTTACAGTTTCTTGCCTAGGAATCATCCCTGTTTCCAGCACTTGTAGTTGCAGCCCTGGTCCTGTGACCACTGCATCAAGTAGGAAAGAGAAAGTTGAAGTGATGTGGGGAAGAAAAAGAAAGTATAGTCATCATACCAGTGTCCTCTCCCCTTGGGAAAAATTTCACAGTCATACTAGCATCCTCCTCCATCCCGTCTTCCCCAGATCCACCAGAAAAACAGAGGAATTTATTTAGTGAGGACACTCCCTTAGCCCCTCTCGTGTTGAGTGTGAGCACACACTCTTGAAGACATGTAAACCAACCCTTCATGCCCACGTCTCTCCCTGTCTTAAACAACCAGTGTTTCAGTTGCCTATTCCAGTTCTCGATGAAACTATTATTCTAAGGAAGGTATCTCTCTGCCCATTGTTTGACATTATGGGCTGTAAAGCATGTTCCTTGGCCTGAAGAAATGTGACTTGGTGGTCCAAATTGGTGCAATATCTTCTGTTCTGGTTGTTTTATAGTACTCTGACCATTTGCGTCAACCATCAGGTAAGCAAAGCCTAATCCAGAGTCAATGTTATCCTATCAAAACCCATTTGTAGCCCCTCTGGAGCTACTGGCATTGGTTCAGTGTAATCCACTTGCCGCTTAGGTGTGGAACCTTCCCCTGAGGAATTTTCCCCATAGCCACCTGCAGCTTCTGTCTTTCTTGCTGACAGAAAAGTTCTTGTTGGCACTTTGAGCCTCAGAGCGTGCAAAAGGAATATGTCCAGATTCAGCCCTTTGCCTTACTGCGGTCCCTAAATGTCTACTCATTTCATGGACCCATGTGGCCACCTCAAGTGAGTATACCATGATATCCACTTTTTGGTTCCAATCACCTTCCAAACCTGGGCATCAACATGTCCTACTTTAATGCAGCCCTCAAATTCCCGTAGTGATTTCCATAGGACCATGCCGCATTTGGTCATCCCCTTAATAGATCAAGTTTCCATTGCCTTTCTGCCTACATGGCCAGGCCATTGGCCATCATCCGTGAGTCAGGTAAAAACCAAAATATAGAGGCTTTTATCATTGTTCAGTTCTTCTATCACTGCTAGGAAAACAGCATGTAATTCATCCTACCAAGCTGATTTGTTTTTACCTTCTTCAATCAGAAGGGTGATTTTCCAAACAGGGTATTGTCCATGTATCTTAGAACTGCCATCCATAACCCAAGCACCTCTTTGTTGGTCTATCAAGAGCTGTTTATAGGGCACTGTCCAAGTAATGATAGAATCCAGCAGCTCTTCACACAGTTCCAAAGTCAGTCCTAGGAGAGAAGAGGCTCCCTGCTTGTCTGTATCTCCTGCTTGCATTCCCCAGGTAGCATAATCCTCTATAAACTATTTCCACTTTATTATGGAATTCTTCTGGGCATTGCCCTCCCCGTTAGAGCATTTCTCTGACACCACCTAAGACATCATGAGTATTTCAGATATTAAGAATTTTTTTGTCCTGCAATCATAGGGGCAGTTCCAATTAATGTCAGGTAGCAGACTAATAATTGCCCCTGAAATGGAAATTCTCTATTCCATAGTCCCAATAGTCATCGCTGGGAAGCACTCACAGGCTTGCCGTAAGACCCAGTCTACACTCCACATAGCGCTATTGCACAGAATTTGTCTGTACCAGCACTCCAGCTTCTCTTCTACCGTGTGGACTTGGGCAATCTTATCCACTCCCATTCAGCATATCCGATTAATATTGCTTGAAGGACCAATTTACATGCCTTCTGTTTTACAGAAAGTTTCCCAGTCGGACACAATGTCCGTCCACGTAATATGTTCATGTAAAAGAAACTCAACCACTTCACACATACCAGTTTTCCTCCAGATGTTCACCTTAATCTGTCAACCCTTACATTCATAACTGTAACCTCCATTAGAACTTCATCAACAGGTTTTGATTTAATAGAACTAGGTAGAAGTGTTCCCCAGTCAGACATAATATCCATTCCCACAAAATATTCAGGTAAAGGAGATACAACTTTTTCACATAAAGTCTGTTTAAACATTCCAATTTTCACCCAAACTTCTACCATAATCCTATCAACCCCTATATTTCTATACTCTCTCAGTCTAATTGAAGCCCCTTTATGGCTTTACTAACAAGTTTTGGTACCATAGTGCATGAGGCACTCATGTCAGGGAGTCTCAGAAACTTTTCTTCTCCACCCCCTGACCATTTTACCCCTTCATGTGCAAAAGGCTTTGGGTCATGAGTGAGAAGCTGAGCCAAGGGACTGTGGCCCTTTTGTCATGACAAAGATTAATCTGCCTATTGTCCTAGGCGATTTCAGATTGTAATCTTTGCCTTCTGGCTTTTTAAATTCCTCCAAATGGAGTGAATAGAGTGGACTTGTTTGGGGCCCTTTAAGGTGGGAGAATCAGCAGCAGGTCCCTTGGGTCCACCCAACCTTCCATAGTGCTGTATTAAGACCTTTGTTTCAAGCCCATCAATGTCCATTTTATTTATCCCATTTCTTAATAACCATCTAAAGATTTTCACCCTGCTGAGACAAATCTCTTGACTCTCCCCTTTCTTTTTCTTCTTTGCTTTAGCCCTATCAATATTTCCTTTATTCATCTTATTTCTTTTTCTTTCTTTCTTTTTTTATTTTTTTTGCTGAGGAAGATTCACCCTGAGCTAACATCTGCTGCCAATCTTCCTCCTTTTTGTTTTTTTGTATGTGAGCTGCTGCCACTGCATGGCTGCTAACAGACAAGTGGTGTAGGTCTGCGCCCAAGAACCAAACTTGGGCCACAGAAGCAGAACGCGCAGAACTCAACTACTAGGCCACCGGGGCTGGCCCTATTCATCTTATTTCTTAATAACCATTTACAGTTTTCCACCTTGCTGGAATAAGTCCCTTGACTCATCCTTCTGCCTCTTCTTGTTTTCTTGTTCATTAACCTAATGTTTTTATTATCATGTGAAGACCCAATAGGGGAAGCTGAGACCGCAGATTCAATAAGGCTTCTAGCACTGTTGCTTGATCTTGCAGGAGTAACGGTACATGGGATGCCCACGCAAAAGGGGCCCCTGTTCTAACCATGTTTTCTTAGATTCCATATTTGTCTCTTTGGCATCTGTTCATCACAGGACCAATTATATTAACTATATTTTCTTATTTTCTGAATTTTTGATGCTTTGACATTTGAGGGCCTTACAGACCCAAGGAAAGACTGCCCCTCTCAGGGATAGCCAGTTCTTAGAGATAGTAAAGGGCTTGGCCAGGACCATGCTTTTCATATGCAAATTAACTAGTCCAGACTCTATACCCATTAGCCATCTCATTAAC